ATAGCCAGATGCAGAGGTGGAGCTAGCAGCTCCAGAAGATGACGAAAGTGTTATAGCTGAGTTTCCAAAAGACCCGCTTAGTGAAGTGTTGCTACCAGCACTATTCATCACAGTTCCAATTCCAGTGGTTATGGATGAGCTGACGGTATTGGGCCCACCACTGCCTCGTTTACGAGTGGCTACGCTGGAGCTAGAATCAGAGACTGGCTTCGCGGCCGAGCTGCTAATCCCAGAATGACGCAAAGGCTCTTTGACGGAGCTGGTCAACCCAGAAGACTTGTAAGCATTACCACTGATAGAAACAAGACTGCTTTCACTGGTAAGTATGACTGTTGAAGAGGTCGTAGTTGGTGTTAATGTAACTGGTGTAATACCATCACTATTACAACTACCAATTCCGGTCCCGCCAGAAGATGAGGATGATGAAGACGCAGGACAGGAAAGGCTGTTTGAGTTGCGTGGCGAGGAGCCAGGACGAGATGAAGAGAATGATGAACTGTTGCTCGGAAGATTCATTAAAACCTAGACGCATAGTAAATAACAGGTCGAAAGTGTTTAGATAATTTTGTAGCTAGTATCAATACAGATAAAGATTTTAAAGAAAATTGCCCCCAAATAAATGGCCAAAAATCTTAGCCTTCATATCTACGATGTAAAGATTCTTTTATTTAAGCAAACTCAAAGCAAAATTCATCGTTCCCAATAGCAGACAGTCTCATGTGATACTTTTGTAGTGCTGTTGATTTAAGCTATTAAAGCTATTTATCCTGAGATAACAATTCAAATCCGAATCAGACATTAAGACATGCTTTGGGAGAATATTATACATGTGGTATGTATGTATTCAAAGAAAATTCATGAAATATTTGCTAATCAGGCAATGAAATCAGAATTTACCACGTGGATATCAGATTTTTAAAATAATTTTACAAAATATTATAAGCATATTTTGAAAGATATTGATGTATTAAGACCAAGATGGTGTGGTCGCAGTCTTCTTTCGTTATATAGAGATTGTTTGACCTTGATTTCGCAACTTGGTCATATTGGTAGGAAGACTTAGAGGAACTCATCTAGTCCGGAGTCCATTGTCTGCATGATCATTTCCAAAGTCGAACCGTGGACGTGGTGCATTCCCAAACGTTTCGCCGGCATCGTCAGTGAGTATCGCCATTCTTAGCATTCTTAGGGATAGAGACAGGATAAACGAGACGGAGACTGGATCTAGTTTACTGACAAGAGGTTTGCTTTTACCATAGACGTAGTCCATGTAGCAAAGGCTTGACGATAAAGCTTAGAGGCTTGAGCCTCGAATTAGTGACCCAGACGCAGGGGAGAGCGAATAACGCCTCGAGTAGCACAGATGGGGTGGCAGGGGTCGAGTGAAATATGTGAACCAGGGAGATAGCAGAAGGATATTATGGGCAAGAGGGAGACTGTGATAAGACATAGGGAAGGAGGACTGCGTAACAATATGGCATACTCTGGTCAACATTCCCAGCACAAGGGTTAAGGGGGTGAAAAAAAA